CACCCCACACACACACAATTATTCCAATGAGCTAAATTTGTCTGAAAAAGAATAGGATTCGTCCAACCACTTTAAAGGTGAAATTTAGTCCATTGAACTTACAGGGGATATAATTTAAACAGTGGCCTCAAAAAAGGCCATATAGTGCAAATAATCCACCGTAAAGTCTGTGCTTAATTATACAGATCTGTACATAGTCTTCCTTCTGTCTTAACTAATTCTTGAATTATGCATAAATGCAGGCAGTTAAACAAAAGAAGCTGTTTATTCTAGATTATCATGATTTGCTGTTACCATATGTGAACAAAGTGAATGAACTCTATTTTTCTTGACACCAGATGGCACATTGAGACCTTTGGCCATTGAGTTAACAAGGCCACCTGTATATGATAAACCTCAATGGAAANGACCTTTGGCCATTGAGTTAACAAGGCCACCAGTATGTGATAAACCTCAATGGAAACAAGTATATTGCCCTACTTGGCATGCCACTGGTTCTTGGCTTTGGAAGTTAGCTAAAGCTCATGTTCTTGCTCATGATTCTGGCTATCACCAGCTTGTTAGTCACTGGTAAGTGATCAGGACACATGCATTATATCAGCTTGCTATTTGGCCGGAAAAGATGGTCCGAATGTCCAACTTCTTATCTCACTCATCATTTAGAGGTTGCTTAGATAAGTTTATATTATAAATAGATTGAACCAGTTTATATTTATTTTTTAGTTTATCTCCATGTTTGGTAAATATTAAAAGTTCTCATAAACTAAAATCTATAAGTAGGTCACTCCCATTTTAGTCATTATAACGTAAAATAAGTTTTCAAACACTTTCTCCCCTAACATATGAACAACACTTAATTTCAGTTTCAAGACTTCTATTTAAACATGTAATTGCTATTTTATAAAATTAATTTTAGTACTTATAGTTCGTTCAACACTTGATACTTATTAGCTACTTTGAATCAGTCGAACCAAACGGGCTCTTAGTAGTTTTGAGTAATTTATGGCTCATGTTATTCCAATTTCTGAGATTGAGAAACTTAATCTAAGTTCCATTGCCAAAAAAGATAAGTAAAAATTATCTACTTTCATCTAAATATTAATACTTGAAAAAAAAATTTCAAAATTTTGCAGGCTAAGAACTCATTGTGCTACAGAGCCATACATCATAGCAACAAATAGGCAACTTAGTTCAATGCATCCAATATACAGATTACTGCATCCTCACTTCAGATACACAATGGAAATAAATGCCATAGCTAGAGATGCTCTTATTAATGCCAATGGCATTATTGAGAGTTCATTTTTCCCTGGCAAATACGCCATGGAGTTAAGCTCGGTTGCTTATGATCTTGAATGGCGATTTGATCGACAGGCACTCCCTGAAGACCTCATTAGTAGGTACTAATTTACTACTATCTGCGTATTTTAACATGTCAAAATTTTCATGTTACTGGTCCTATTTATTATGGAGAATTACATGCAATTATGTTTTAAGTGATCTGATAGTATAAAAATTATTTACACTAAGAATACCGAGTGTTCCATTTTATCCTTCCATATAACATGCTATTTGTGCAAACTTTAACAGGGGAATGGCCGTGAAAGATCCAAATGCACCATATGGTTTGAAACTAACAATAGAAGACTACCCTTTTGCAAATGATGGTTTAGTATTATGGGACACCCTTAAACAATGGGTAACAGACTATGTCAACCACTACTATACAGAAACCGAACTCATAAAATCCGATACAGAACTTCAAGCTTGGTGGACAGAGATAAAAGATGTTGGACATGGTGACAAGAAAGACGAGCCGTGGTGGCCAGAACTAAAAACCCCAGATGACTTAATTGGAATTATCACAACAATAGTTTGGGTGACTTCTGGACACCATGCAGCAGTAAACTTTGGACAATACAGTTATGCAGGTACTCACCTTAGCCTTTTGTATTAGTTTCTTATATTAGTAATATCACTTATTATGAACGGTTGCTTTTGTAGTTCTTTTAGGTGATTTGCTGGTGTAAGAGTTGTTTTATAGTTACAATGGACAGTTAACTTATAATTAACTTTTAGGTGAACTGATAGTGTAAAAATTCTTTTATAATGCCAGTGTATGGAAATTAAACTCATTTTAAAAGAGTTTAAGTTTTATGCACAACAGATTCACGTCATTGATAAGGTTATTACGAGTACATCCTTGATAAGCATTAATAGACAACTTGACAAAAATGGTTCTCCTAACCAACATACGAAAACATATTAAACTACACTGATATCGTAAAAGAATCTTTACATTATTTGTGTAAATAAAAAGGAAATAAAATACATTTTCATAATCCCACTTTCTCAAAATTTATTAAAAATGAAAGTTTCATTTTGTACTAATTGAATTTATGTTGTCTCTTCACTTCATAAAATATTGATTTTGCTATTGCATGTGTAGGCTACTTCCCAAATAGGCCAACAACTGCTAGAGCAAAAATGCCAACTGAGGATCCAACTGATGAAGAATGGGAGAATTTCTTGAAAAAACCCGAGGATGCACTATTACAATGCTTCCCTTCACAAATCCAGGCAACAACAGTCATGGCAGTTTTGGATGTTTTATCAAATCATTCTCCAGATGAAGAATATCTTGGAGAGAAAATAGAACCTTACTGGGCAGAGGATCCTGTGATTAACGCAGCGTTCGAAAAATTTTCTGGAAGATTAAAGGAACTTGAAGGGATTATTGATGGTAGAAATGCTGATTGCAATTTGATGAACAGAAATGGAGCTGGAGTTGTGCCTTATGAACTGTTGAAACCATTTTCTGGACCTGGTGTTACCGGAAAAGGTGTACCTTATAGCATTTCCATTTGATTTTCATGACATGAATTTTGTAATAAGATGCAAGTGAAAGAACAATAATGCAAGCCAAATGTGCTATTTTTTCTTTTGCAAATGCTCATTTATATGCTCACTTGACAAGTTTCCCAAGTGAGCAAGAAATTTCCCCTTGAAAATTAGTCTTTGACCGAGCAGAAGAAAACTTAAATTCTGGATCCGCTTCTGACACTAGTAACGAGCCAATTGTCATATCGCTTTCAGTTTAGGACAATGCAAAATTTGGTGGTAAAAACAAGCAGTTGAGTAAGAAATGAAGTAAATTCACTTTGTCCATTTTTTGATTCCATGATAGTAAAAATAACATGGACATACAACCACTTTAAATAGAATAGAGAAAATTGCCTTTGAAACAGAATAGACATTGGTTTCTTATTTAAGTCGTTAATGGAAGCCAAAAATTGCAGAAGATACATTTTACTATGTTAAATGGCTTCTGCTTTTGAATTTTAAGAAGCTAAATCTCGAATGACTAAGTAGGATTCCAAAGCCAGAAGGTACTTAACATAAATCATTTCTTAAACAAATCAAGGCCATCCACTTGTTCTCAACGCGGCAAAGATTATGAGCAATTAACTTTGACTATTACACATGATATGAACATCAAAACAATCCTGATAAGAATTCATTACATGTTCAGCCTGACATGTGAAAACGCGTAGCTCCCCCCTTTACAGTAGTTATACATAATACAGATTAACAGTTACCAACACCAAATTGAGAAAATTATACAGATCATACAACTTAAAGAACATGCAATATGATGAGTAACATTACCTTAGTATTTAGATATTAAAGATATACAGCGGAGGAAACTGCACACAATTGAGGCAGATCTTAAATAGTAGTGCTGAATGTATATGGGCAAGGTGGAGTCGTCACTTCAACAGATCCATCAAGCATTTGAGTGACTTTCCTCATAGTAGGCCTCATCGATGAATCTTCTTGGATGCACCAAATACCAACCATCACGAACCTCTCGAGCTGCTTCTTGTCATTCAAGGCTTCAGTATCAGTTTCTACCAAAGCTTCAAATTTTCCCTCTTGAAAGCAATCCAAGACCCAATCTGTAAGAATTGCCTCCGGTCCATAGCTTTCCTCATTCTCCAAGCTTTTCCGGCAAGTGATGATCTCTAGTAGCAATACACCAAAGCTGTAAACATCCACCTTAACCGTGACCTGACTATTCCTGAACCATTCTGGAGCAACATAACCTCTTGTTCCTCTAATATTAGTAAGCGTTCGGCTCTGGTTAATCCTCAGCAGTTTAGACAATCCAAAATCTGATATTCGAGCAACATAATAATCATCAAGAAGAATGTTTTGAGGCTTTATGTCACAATGGATAATCTGTGTACTGCACTCTTCGTGGAGGTATGCAAGTCCCCTTGCGATTCCCATTGCAACTTTTGTCCTCTGACTCCAAGTAGGTTTTTGATCACAAAAAAGGTAACTTGCAAGAGTGCCATTACTCATATACTCATAGACCAACAAGCGATGAGGTCCCTCGTTACAATATCCAAGAAGACGGACCAAATTTTTGTGATGAGTCTGACTAATCACATTTACTTCATTCATGAATTCCTTCTCTGTCTCGTGAGCAACTCTATCCAGCTTCTTTACAGCAACAACGTTTCTTGAACAGATTGGCATTACCCCTTTGTAAACAATCCCAAAGGCACCCCTGCCTAGCTCATCCTTGAACTCGTTTGTGGCTTCGACAAGTTCTTTGTATGTAAAACTATGACAAATGGAGTCAGGTACATGACTTGCAGGACGAAATGTCTTGGCTTTCTTTTTGTAAACATGGAAGAATCCCCAACAAAATACACCAATAAAGACAACATTCACCAACACAGAGCTACCTAAGAGTGTGGACGACACAACTGCCCAATTTCGCCAATTCTTGCTTTGGCGTGATCCTGGATTTGGAAGGCCAGGACTTAGAGGAGGAACACCACCTTTCCTTATTTTAATAAACGCTTTCGCATTCAGACTGGTGTCTATTCTCCCATTCCAGAGTGGCAGCTTCTTTTTCCAGCAGCTATCGCTTCTATAAATGGCAACAGCACAAAAACAATCATTCAAACAGAAACGTTGGCAGTCTTGTTCAGTAGAAGGGCTAAGCTTCTGAAAGTCAGATGTTGGCCAATCAGTATCACGAACCGTGATAAAACTGTACAAATCTTCAGGTGAACCCCTCCCAACTTCATCACAACTTACAGCAGAATCTGGTTTGCAGTTGCCATAAGTATCATTTGGATCAAGTAGTGAATATCCTTTAGGACAGTTACAAACTGGTCTTTTGTTTGTACCAAGATTGCACACATTATTGTATCCACAAGCCCCTATTCCTCCTCCAAAAATATTGAAACATATATTATCTGGTTGAGACCATAAAATATTCCAGCCACTTCTATTAGAACTCCTCGAGCGATAATAATGAGTGAGAACTCCATCAAAGTTAAGTGTCACGCGGTGATAATTTTCCGAAGCTGAAGGGATGGATCTGGGAGTAAGAAATTGCCTTTGATTGTTTCTCTTCAATACATACATCATGCCATTCTCTTCAAAAACCAATTTATCACCAGAATTGGTTACATTTGTTTCGTCAAAAGTTTGACTGTTATAGTACGCATCATCATAATCTGAATTGGAAGGCACACTTTGTGTAACAAGTATCAAATTCCCATTATCAATCATGCGAAGATAAAATCTACCTGTTGAGACATAATATAATTAAAACGTTAAACTCATTATCGCTCTAACAGTTAATTGTCTGTCTAACGAGGGAAAAAATCAGGCCCAGACATGAGGGGCGCGTTGAGACATACAACTACAACTACGCCTCTATCTCAAACAAGTAGAGTCGGCTATATCAATCCTCACTGGCCATGTTCTTCATTTAAATTTCATCTCAGGCCATTATAAACGAAAAGTACTAGAACTCTATATTCTCTACTGGAATGAAAACCTCAAGTGAGGCTAAGATACTCCTAAAAAGCATAGGATCTAAAGTAAATATACTGACATGACTAAAACATATTCCTAACTCCACCGGTCTCAAGTTCGGATAAAGGAAGAGGATTGCAGTAGACTGGCAGCCAGTAAAAAACTAACCAATTAGTCATGATGATTCTCGTAATACATATACCATGTTGACACATTATATAATTAAACAATTAAAATGAGTCAGTCACACAATTTGTTAGGATCGGGAATCCGGATAGTGCGGAATTTAGCCAAACAACGGTATAATGACAATAACAAAGACAATAGAAGTTGATAATAACGGTAATTAAAGAATATAAAGAAGACACAAATTTAACGTGGTTCGGTCAAGGTGACCTACGTCCACAAGCAGAGATGAGCAATTTCACTAACCAACAAGAGTACAAAAGAAAGTACAAAATTAGGGTAAATACTCTAATTAATCCCAAATACCCCAAGAGAATAACCTCACAATATCACTCCAAAGAAAGGGTTCACACAAGTGTTTCCCAACACTCACTCTCTTACAAAATACTCTATAATGAAATAAAGGAGGAGAAAGAAAGACAAGAGTGAAAAACTCTTGAATTGGTGTGTTTGCAAATGAGGAGAAACTCATCTATTTATAGCAAGAAATCTTTGGCCTAATAATGGATATTATGTCATGGCAAATATCATGATCCACAAATTTGTTATAATGGATATTATGTCATGGCAAATGTCATGAAAATTTGGCCATATTACAAATCTCCACCTTGGTCTAATTTCGGCTTATATATAGTAAATTTGCTCCACCTTCTCTGCGAAAAAAACCCCCAATGGGAAAAATCATTATTCATAAATGCCAATCAAGTAGCTTGAACTTGGACACTGGAAGAGGTTTTGTGAACATGTCAGCAAGATTGTCTCTAGTGTTG